TCAGTGGCGTCCACGCTCCACTGAGCATGTGCGTCCCCTTCCCTCCTCTCCTACGCTGGCTCCACATCTCTCTCCTCTGGGCATCTTTTCCTATGGCGTTCACACCAACAATGCGCATGTGCGTGTCCTTCCGCCTCTCCTTTGCTTCGTTACCCCTCTTTTGCCTCGCGTCGCCGATGTAGGCAGCTTCTGCTAACGAGTTTCTGATATAAAATACAGTTGCTCACGCTCCACAACCGTTCACTGGCCACCGCGTATCTATAGGCACTTGATCTTGACCTCCGAAGTAGTGCCGGTGGGAGATTTCTTCTGTGTGTTGATTAACAATAAGAACTCGCAGCGTGCGCGTCAACTAAAAGCGGACGGCAGGTCATCGCGCCTCTTCAAGTGTCTCTCCTGTGCAACGCCGCGATGGGCGCCAGCGTTAGCTACACCACCACTTTAAGCGTAAGCGTCTACTGCTTCACATATAGACATATAGTTTCGATCAGCGAGAGATGGTGTCATTTTTTTTTGCCAATCATCACATGCGCTAACGACTAGTTGTAAGATCCTCACAGAACGAAAGCTCAATATTTCTGGATGCATATACAGATTTTAGTCATCGTGGAAATCAGCATCGATATTGTTTTCCTAAACGTGACGTTCAATTTTTTTACAGAAATTTGATTACATACGGGATATGAGAAAGGTGTGTGAAGATATTAGCTAACAATTTGTTCATTCTCACTGCATCTACCCCCCCCCCCTCTCCCAGGCCGTTAACTGAAGTGAGTTTGAGAACGCTTCTTTCAACAGCCGTGCACGAGTGGCGGACGAGGGTGTTCTTACTATGCACAGCAAGGTTGACTTGGTGCGGCTACGTTTTCTTGTGACAAAGTGCAGATAGGGTGATTGAATTGCATCACTATTGAAAGTGGTATTTTTTGGTAGTTACTCTTTATAGAAGCTCTGACTGTCGGTCGTTTTGAAAGTCCTTTCTTAACTCGGACATGTAAAAGCCAAGAAAGAACTTTCAAAACTACCGACAGTCAACGAAAGGAGATGATGCATCTGTCCTTTTGTTGTCGCTGAAATCAACATGAGACGAAGCCCATGGGGTGATATCTTGATGGCCTTTTTTTGGTAGCGTCTAGCAGTTGTGCATGTGATGGCAACAAAACTTTCATTACATCTGTACACCGAAACTCCTTCCTCTCTTCAATAGTCGCATATGTAACTAGCGCTTTTTGGCCAATATTGCCGTTGCATGATAAAGCACCACATATCATCACCGTCGTTCGCCATACCACTTTTCATTTAAAGGGCCAGTAAACAACCCCTAAGTGCAAATATAATTTAAAGAGAAATATGTGCATTTTTACTTCGTGAACATCCTGCCGGAAGAATTTTGTGAATACGTGCTATATCAGGGAAGTTACAGGAGCTAGAACATCGCGTTCAGCTGGTTTCAAATTTACGCGTGGTCTCGACACCCTTCTCCTTTAGAAGAAGGGGAAGGCGAGGCCTGTCGTCGTGACTCTGCGCACTTCGGCCATGTGACCTGGCGTCCACGATTGATGTCATCGACGAACTCGATCAATCACAACGCACTTCCGCTTGCTGTCATGCCTGTTTGTTTTTCGTTTAGCCTGTGATAATGCTTCTCCGCAGCCCAGTAGCTCAATTTGCAGCTGACAACAATTTCCAGGAATACTGCATTCTAAATCCTACGCACGACATTGGCCCGATTTTTTCGGAATTCTTATTTTTTGGGGGGAGCAGGCTGCCGCGTCATCTGGGAGCAGCAACACAAAGCACGAATAATGCGCCTAAGAGTGTGTGTTCCTAAAAACAAGTGGCACAAAAATTTCCTCACTGCCAAAGACTGGGTCAGTGAAGTGTCCTGATTTCGATGCATGGAGCATAAGGAGAGTTTCGCAACTGGCATGATTGAATAGCTCTGTCGTAGATGTGGGTGGGAACAGGAACTGTCGTTGACTTCACTGCTGTTTGTTGAGACTTGGTTTAGACCAATCGACGCTCTGCGTGCTGCGTCACATCGCCGATCGCCGAGTTGTCGTCACTGCGAGTGCATCGAGATTGGCCAGGCGTAGGAAAGGAGCGCGGGTTTTGTTTTTCATAATGGCGGTTGTGATCGCTGCGATCGTAGTCACTGCGATCTACTACTCTACGAATTACCGAGCTTCTTTGGGGGTGGAAAAAAATGTTGGAGCCTGTTGACTGGCCCTTTAGAGGAGCAGTTACATTATATCCGAACACTCGCAAACACTGCCGTTGCATCTACTTGAAGCTAAAGCTCGAGTTGCGAGTTAATATTTCAAGAAGCAATTTGGCAAAATAGGTGCGCATGTGAATCCGGTACCGCTCGAAAAAATACTTCCGAAGTCGCACAATCTACGGGGATCATAGAGAGTGTTTCAGCTAAAAAGCACCAAACAATAAAAAAAATTTAACTAAGTTCTACCCGCCTCCAGCTAGCGCAGTATTATTGTTAGCTGTGTGTAGCACGTCGGAATATTTTTATTTTTTTTATCTGCCAGGCAGTGTACTTACCAAAGATTGCTTAATGAAAATTTTCAATACTGATTCTAGCGAGCAAATTACAAGACTTGTAGCTGTTATCCAGAAATAACAAATCTTTTCGGTTACGGTAAGATAACAATGCTGGTTAATTTTTTCAAGGGTTTGTTTAGAGTGCGCGAAATTCTAAAATTACCACGTGATTTCCTCCTAACACGCGGCGCTTTGAGTGTCCTCAAATGTAAGTTGAACGAACTAGCGAAGGCTTCTCACGCACGAAGGTCGCTTAAACAGGCTATGGGTGACTACGATGGACATTAAGCGATGATTGGTTGGTACCATTAAAAAAATGGGGGCGGGAAGGTGAAAGAAACGAATACAATAAACTTCGACGAAAAAGCAGCTACCACGTGCATGGCGATAGGAGACTGGAGGACAGCTTTCGGCACAGCACAGAGGTTGTTGTTGTTTTTTTCTTTTCGGGCCAACGATAAACATGACGGTGGGGGAGAGGGTGACGTTTTGATAAAAGAAGGATATAAAAATTTCAATGGTATTTATTTCAGAAGTTTTTTTTTGTCGTATCTGCATCGATTACGTGCGATTGCTCTCCTGAACGATTACAAGGAATACGGCATGGTTGGCTGTTGGTTTAAAAGTTTATTGTTCGTACTTTGTCTCCATTTAGAAATTGATGTTTAGTACCCGTCTGTTAGAGCGCAGTGCGTATAAATAAACAGAACAAATAAAGTAGTGTTATGTGCTCTTTTAGCTCACTCCTAAATATTAGGAAAACTAGGTGTTTGAAGAGATCAGCGACATTGCAAAGTCCAAAGCGCCTTCATTGAGACGTCATGGGCAGTTACATTGCGTACTCAAACAGCCCTCCATCAGCACCTACACACAATATACACCGAGTCAGCACATTATCTATCGCGTTTCGTAGTATTCATGGAGTTACAAAGCCATACACATCTGCTATTTTGGACTTCAGTCTTGCGGGCGCTGTTGCCAGTTGGGTGTAGACGTGGTCTTTATTGTATCCTCATAGAAAGAAATCTAGCGGAGTCAAATCTGGAGATCTTGCTGGCAACTCTACAGGTCCAAGTCCTCCACCCTTGAGTACGCGCCTAACACTACCGCTGGAAACGCCGGTCCCAGCACTCACGTCGGGCACGCTTGTGTGGGGATGGGCTGCCGTGTAAGCGAGAAAGTCTGTTTTAAGAAACTCGTTCACACCTTTTGTGCGCTGACGCTGCCTTTTGAACGTGCCTGTCTCCTAGAGCGTTTCGTAATTTCGCACCAATGCCGAACTATTTACCCGAATTCCTGGGTGCCATCTGCGAAATGGCCTTGCAGCCCCTCTCCTGTTTCCGTTCACTCAGCTGAGGGCGAGAACCATATTCGCCCTTTCTTCATTAGTGCAGCGCATGAATCGTTCCAGACGAAGACTTTCCCTTGTTCAAGCGTGTCAAAAAAAAAAAAAAAAAAAAAAACTGCGCACCACATATTTCCATCGTGGTTTCCATATCCTTCTTTTACAAAAATGTCCCCCTCTCCCCTTCCTTCATGTTAATTGTTGGCCCGAAAAGAAAAAAAAAAAACGTCTGCCCTGCGCCTAATGCTGCCTCCGGTCTCGTATCGCAATGCACGTGGCAGCGACTTTTTTGTCGAAGTTGATTATGTCTTCATTTATTTTTTTTCGCCCCCCCCCCTACTTTTATTGGTACCATCCAACCTTCGCTTAATGTCCATCGTAGTCAACGTAGTCAAAAAAAAAAAAAACATTCTGACGTGCTACATACAGCTAAGAATAATACTGCGCTAGCTCTGGACGCGTAGCACACATTTTTATTTTTTTATTGCTTGGTGCTTTTTTTGCTGAAACACTCTGTATAAAGTCGTCTTGCGACTGATCCGCTTAGGTAGCGCTTAGGCATCACTGTTCCGAGAGCAATGCGGATTGTGGACAGACTAAGCGCTACAAAAATATAATGGTTCCACTACTCTAACTTAACCTAGACCTTCAGAAAAAGCCGCAAATTTTTCAACCTTTCCTATCCGGTCGATCATTTTTGTTGTCGTCATGCGTAACAAAGAATACAACTTGTAGGTGAGCTTTGCTAATGCAATCGACAAAATTCTCCTTAAACCGGTAGTTTGAGCAGCCGACAGCACCCTCGCTTAACGGGTAGCGGCAGCATCGAAGCGGCGGGAACACAAATTTTATTGACTACCACATTTCGAGTCGTTTCTCATGAGGTGACGTTATCAGACATCAGAAAATTTTAAGGCATGCGAAATTTCAGCGACACTATGCGCATGTTCATGGTTGATATCATGAGCCGGACATGCATGATCTTCAATCAAGGGGAGTAAGGCGCCTGACGAGTGAGAAAGGGTGAACGAGATGTCACGTTGTTAGCGAACCCACAGCGGCAGGTGGCGCTGCCTTGAGGTGATAAAAGAACTTTGTGGCAGCTTTCGACAGTCGATGTTGCGTAAGCAGGTCAAGTAGAAGCTGTGCCAAACGTAGTCTGGTTATTCTAGCGGCTCGTCTGTGCCTGAAGAAGACGCCATTTTGAAAATGGAAGAAAAGCCTGTGCATCGTTGTTGCCACGATGACATTCCAGGTGCAAACTGGAGGCCGACCCGGTTTGTTTCGATGGTGCCCAGTTCATACGTGTGCTCTATCTGTGGCATGATACCGAAGTCTTTGGTCAAGCTGCCATGTTCGCACGTCCTCTGTTCCGCTTGCCACGCCACCAACTCCGATAATGGTGCCGGCCAGTGTCCCTTGGAAAAGCAGCCATTTGAGAGGGCGGACAGTGTTTCCGTTAACTGCCCCGTCAGCAAAATACGCAGGCTGAAGGTAAGTATAAGTGTCTTGTTGCTTTCGTTTTATCGGAAACGTCAATTATATGCACCACTCTGAACTGTGAAAGGGGCTCCTCTTCCAAGTGCAAAATATGGTACTGATAAAGCTTCTGATATTGGTCCGTTTTAGTGTCTCCTACCCCCCCGCCCCCCCACCACCACCTTTTTTTTTATGCAAGTATGTGTGGTTTGCGCCAGCTTTTGCATTCTAGTGTAACCTCGGTTAGTACAGTAGCGATAATTTTTTTCGACACATGGCATTGCGTGGCAAAGTGTACCGCAGTGCCTATTGACGGCTGGTTGCGAAGCTGGAGAGCGCGCATAGGCCACTCATGCCCTTCTTTAGGGGCTCAACATAGTTGGACGTATAGTATTTACGCGCGAGTACGCTCGGTTAGCTCGATACGACACTACGCTAGCAAAACGAGAACACTCTATAGCCTGATGCGAAGCCCTACAGTTACGGCCCAGGTGGTAGCCGGCGCGAGGTGCGATATACGTCGACGACGTTACGCAGAAATAAACCGTCTGCATTGAGGGATGAAGGGTGGGCTCAAACGCTCATGAGTCAAGGTCATGTAGCCCGGCACGAGTGGGCGAGTACAGAGTGATTCGTCTTTGCGTCAACGGGATTTTCGACGTGAAAACCAAGTGTGAATGTTGTCGATACGGATCTCTACCCCTGACGCTATTGTTTGTGCGTTTGCACAGGAAGCTTTTTTATCCGGGTGGATGGAAGGAAGGGAGGGGTTCTTTTGTGATTGCTTCTATAAGTGAGGGGCATGGCTAGTTGGCACCTAAAGTGCTAATAACTTTTTTTTTATAGAAGTCCTCTTTGGCACGTCGAGTAGTACTGTTCTCTTGACATCCATCTCTAATGCGGGTGAAACATTTTTCTCTATAAAAGGCTTAGCGTACACATGATTGATATTGATTTATATTTTGGTTCCTTCTCGTATTGGCATGATGCCGCTGGTCCATGCGATCACTGTCGGACGGCACGTTGAAGAGCCACACACTCCGCACATGACAGATAGCCACACCAGAAGTTCGATACAAAACACGATCTCCCAATTTTCGACACACCTCAGCAATACGATGCCACCTTTGCCGTTTCAAGACTGCTAAACGCACCAGAACAAAATATCGAGATTTCAAACAGTGCGGCCGCAGCTGCCAGCACCAACACACAGAATCAGCGGTTCGGGCGTTCGTACTGAGACGCCTGACCCCACTCGTCATAGCATCATGCACGATAGCATTAAGCTTTCAACCAGCTGATAACGACACAAAAATAATCTGCGCGCGCGGGATTGCGGTTTTCCACGTGATTGGGGGAGATTCAGGCCTTGTCCTTGTTTTCAAAGCATAGTCTTCACTCACTGATTGCTTTAGAAAAAACTGGCTTTTGCACGAAAATCTTTTTACAAAAGCAGGAAATGTACTTTGACACCCTTTTGATATTGCAAAGAGAATAGGTCCTTTCGTTCTAGTATAGCCTCTTAATTAAGCTTCGCTGTAATTACATTGGAGTAAGTTCGCTAATCTAAAATTACCATGGCTTGACCAAAGTAGCGCGTGCCGGTGCCTAATGGCGTATTTCTGTTTTGTATACCACACTACCACACCTCGAGCATAGCACTCTCTGCTGTAAAAGTTTTTTTTTACTTGACGAATACATCATCCTTCTCATTGGTCAAGGACAAATTTTCGTGATATGTTGCCTTCACTTTTTATATATGTGCCTTGTAGCTTTCGGCAACAAACCTGTCAAAGTCGACTTTACAGCATGGTGGTCGCCTGAGATAACCTTTCCATTTTTCCCTCTTGAAACACGTGAGCCACACGTTTCAAATTTTAAATGGCTCATATTTTGAAGTATTCAGCAATCTGACAGAATTGACACTACTTTGTTTGAGCTTCAATGTGACATTTTACGTTTGTTTCGTTTCGGCTTCCGTCGTCCCCAACGTGCGCTAGACGGGGACCGCAGATATTTTTATAGGCATCTGTATTTGCTGCTCCTACAATGTTATTAGTGCAGGAGGGTGTCTCATACGAGTTGCTAACGCTCAAGACTGTTGTTGTTGTTGTTGTTGTTTCCCTGTAGAAATGGCTCGTACCCAAAGAAGGGGATTGGCCGATTTTAAGGTGAATTTGCCCTAAAATTTCAGCATTGTGTCATTCCTACAATCTTTTTTTTTTTTGTAACTTAATTTTGATTTGAAATACCGATATCAAGTTTGCAGAAAAAAAAAATAAGAATAATTTTGAGACAGCAATTTAGCAAGAAAATCGTTTAGTCGCAGTGATGTATTCTTGAACGGCGAATAAAACATCCCTGTGGCTGAAACCCAGTGTAGAGGCTCCAAATGAAAGAAGATCAGGCTGTGATAGTTGCAAGCCCAGTCTTTGAAGAGGTGGTGCTAGTATGCTTTGCCTGAATAAATCGAAACGGCGACAATGTAATAAAAAATGACTGATCGTTTCCTCTTGATTACAGTAAATGCACATAGGGGAATTCAATATGCCTGATCTATGCAAGTAAAAATTGAGGGAGGTAACGCGGCAACGAAATTTCGTGATGACAACTTCCATCATCCTTGATTTAGTCAGTTCACTGCGCCAGGGAAATAACAAGTGTTTGTACTCTGGAGAAGCCGTCAGTGCAGGGTCAGATAAATTTTGCCTGATTTTAAGTGTGCGAAATCGCGCCACCGTAATGTATACTGTATGGGGGAAAATAGGAATAATTGGTGTCGAAAGGGATGCCTTCGCGAGAGAATCAGCTATTTCGTTTAACAACAAACCTTTGTGCCCTGGTGTCCAGATTAAATGAATACTTCGGAGATGACAGGGGATCAACGATTTAAAAAGTTTCACTATAGGTGAGTGACCAGATGCGGACAGAGAAGAGCACACTGATAATGAATCAGTTATGACTGCTACAACTGGAATGGAAATATTTACCTTTCGCAAAGCTAACATTATTGCCATGAATTCAGCCAGAAAGACAGGAAGAAAGTCCGGTAAGCGAAGTGAAAATGACCAATCAAGTACGGGGCAATATATTCCAACGCCTGATTTTTCATGTGATTGAGATGCGTCCGTTGCTATAATGACATTTGTTGGAATAGTACTTAAATGGTCCTGCAATAAACCATTTAAAATGCCTGTAGGTAATAGCTTTGCGTGAGTTGGGAAGATATCATGGTAAACAATTTCTGGAGAATTTTGTTGCTCAGTTAAAGGAATCAGATCACGAACGTGTACATTCAGGGGCTCAAGTAACGATTGAACAAATACTATTTGTGGTTTGGTAAATCTGGGCCAATGCACGGAGAAGAATAGGTCAGGATTAGAAATAAAAATAATTTGTTCAGGGTTAAACGGTGCTTCATATAGTCGTAAAAAGGTCTGCACAGTAAGAATGTTAAAGCGACATAGTAAGGTTGGTATTCGTGCTTCAAGGTATAACACTGCATTTGAAGTATACTTTGGAAGTCCTAAGCAGAGCCGTAAAGCCTCTCTTTCCAACAGAACGAGCGGCCGAAGTTTGTAGGCTGGCGCACCAGAGAAAAGAATGCAGCCAAACTCCAACACAGGTCGGACATACATTTTATATACAATCAAAAGTGCCTTTCTTCTCATACCTGATCTGCAATTGCTCAACCTCCGCAATACCCCCATCGCGCGTACTGCTTTTGTCGCGATGTATTCAATGTGAGGGCGCCAATTTAGATGCTCATTATACATAACTCCAAGATATTTCAATGATTGTACTTGTGGGATATCTTGAAGCTTGTAATTAATAGATATGTGCACGGGATCTTTGATTGGAAAAACGAGAATAGCACATTTACCGGTATTGAGGTTCAACTTCAATCCATCCAACCAATGTTCTATTTTATTAAGATATGTTTGCAAGATAGTGTAGAGACAGTGGAAGTCATGTGACATAGCAAAGAAAGCAATGTCATCGGCATAAACATAGGTTTTCACTTCTGGATGAACGGGGATGGTACTAAGCAATATGTTGAATAAAACCGGGGAAAGTACTGACCCCTGAGGTACACCTCGGGTTTGCTTGTGCTTACAGGAAGAGAAACCGCCTTGATAACAATAGAATTCTCTTCTACTTAAAAATTCTGTCACCCATGCTACTATATAAGGTGGAAGTCCATGACTCCATAACTGATTAGTCAAGATAGAATACTCTACACTATCATATGCTTTACATATGTCTAACGTTACTAAAGCCGCAAAGTGCTTTTTGTGACGGGCAATATGAATACGACTTTCCAGATCTACATGTGCATGCCATATGGAATATCCAGATCTAAAGCCAATTTGGGAAGAACTCAACAGTTGTTTCTCGTTAATAAACCTAATTATACGACCATGAAGTACCCTTTCAATAAGTTTTACTACATTAGATGTTAAGGCTATCGGTCGTATGTTGTCTAAATTATAGCCTGCCCCCTGTTTCTTAAGAAATGGTATAATTTTCGCAATCTTCCATTCGGAAGGGATCCATGCTCTTCTAAGGGAATAATTGACGAGACCTAACAGATCATTCGGATATTCCCTGTGAAGTATTTTTAGCATTGTATTTGTTATTCCATCGGGGCCTGGTGCTGCATTTGGCAATCTTTCCATAGCCTGATTCAATTCGGAAGTCGATATTTCTGTGTAGTCATAGATGGTTGTTGTGTAAGCCGAATTAGGAAGATGCGTTGAGAACCTGTTTTCTAATTCTTTAGCCAACTGATTCAAAGATTCCTGTAGTTCCTGTGAGGTGTAAACTACTGAGTCAACGTTTCCTGGTATAGGGGTCTTCTTCCTACCACGAAGGAAGTTGAATAAAGCACGTTTGTTATTTGATTTAGACAGGTACTCGAAATGTTCTTGGTCATATTGCTCTTTCGCTCGCGATACAGTGCGTTTAAATGTTGCCGCAATGAACTGATAATCCTTCCAATTTTTTGGACTCTG